TTACTAAACTTGCCTAATTCATCATTATCTTCCAAATAAATTAGAGTAATCTCTTCCATATACGGTAGCTCGACCCGATATAATATTTCACCTGTACATTATTCGTTACACAGAAAGAAGCCAAAAAAGAAAAAAAAGTATATGTAGTAAACCAAAATTTCAATGCGATAAAGTATTGAAAAAGTGAGAAGTATCAGAAATGAAAAACATACTGTACCTTCGTTATTTGCATCCTCTTGAGTATAACAGAGCATGAAAGCTGTAACGAAAAATGGCACATTAACGATCATCTTCGCCGATGACAACAGGATTTCTCAGCAAATCCTTTCGGATGCTGTATTGCAAAATTCCCAGTCAATGTGAATTCTCTCATTGAAAGCAACAATACAGGGTATAACGATGTATTTTCTTAGGTATTGGGATGTTGTATAAATTTTTTTCTACAAGCGTGCGTGATTCACCCTATACCCGCACGCAATTTAGTTTGGGAAGTGTCATTTTCTCGCAACATTGCGGGAAAAACAAAGATATGATAATATGGCAAAATATAAGTGGTAGGTGATGGAATATGAGAGTTTGAGTTTGTTTATTGCAGTATTAAATATGTATCTTCAGAATCAAATTGCACTATTTATTGTGAAAATTAAGAAATATAGAAAAATAAAAATTGATTATTATAAAAATCCTCCTATAGATTTGGATTGATCTGATGAGAAACGATTATTGTTGTCATGCCAATCAAACCTCAAATGAGTTTGTAATTGTCGAAGTGACAGACACAGCGTTTCTGTCATCTTCGATTCAGTGGATTTGCTACAATGTGATCAAAAACTTCCAGCTATTGGGATGCGATACAGATGCGTTATTGCCAACGAAGTCTTGAGAAAGGTATGAAAAGCTATACACGCGTTTTATTGAATGTTGCAACAATAAAGAAATGAAAATACTGAATAAAGAAGAAGTATTTTTGGCTCATTTCCTAGAAGTCTCTGAAACCTAGAGACCAAACACCTTATGGGCCTGCTGGCTTCCGCAATGAACCTATACATAATGCGTCAAACTGTAAGTTCACAATAGCTATTACTAATAATCAGTAGATAGACAATTATTTTTCTCTCTTGTTAGTTGTTCCTATATGAATGAATAATTGATAAAACAAATCAATCAATTTCCTACGCTTGTAGAAAAAATATTGTTCCTAACTCCTATCTGAGAAGGTCATCGTGAATGATTTAACAATTTTCTGAACCAATTTGATTTCTCTACAATAACGAATTCGTACCTAGTAGAATATGTTTCGTTACTTGAAACTATTTCTCTGTTTTTGGCTGTACTTTGTGATTAAATTTTCAGTACACCAATTAATCCGTTTTCAAATTCCCAATTTTTTTCCTAACTCACGAACAATCTACTTTTTTTTGTACCGGCTAATTCTCAACTTTGATCCCATTCAATTAGTTTTATATTTCTATTGGTTTAGGTACAAAATAAAAATGGTGAGAAGCGGATTTGTTACACCCTGTTGATATTTCACATTTTCACATTCGTATTTAGTATACTTCACCGTGCAAAAATGATCGAATATTTTGTCACTTAGGAACTAACGAATTTTATTATTTTCACTCAATAGAATTCATAAAACATATTATATTACATTTTAGAAGACCACTGCCATTTCTTGTTAGATATCAACCCAATATTTTAATGTTAGTTATTCTCGAAATATTAATAGCAAACAAGCAGGCAAGCAAGTCATTAACTGTGTTAGTAATTAGCTCTAGTTGCCCCCAGATGTAATAAGATGTATAGACTTAGATAAAGACACAATAATTTATTGTTAGATACTTACATTGAGGATTTTTTTCATTGTCATTAGCAGTGTTAGGGTTGTCATTGGGAGATTCTAAAGGTGGAAACAAAATAAAAACATAAAGATCAGAACTAAAAATCGAATTTTCAGCACATTTTGGTACAAACTAGAATTATGTATAGTTTTTTAATGATGAATTAATTGATGCTATGAATTGCTTCACAATAGTTGGAAATATGGGATTCCGTGGATTGCAACAAATAACATTTGATGTGTATTGACAAAAATCGTTATTGTGCTATTATGTTGAATCTTCAAAATGTGCCGAGGAGAAACTATTAGAAACTATAAGAAACTAAGAAAATTATGCAAATTACCAATAAACTACGAAATAAATAATCAACATTTCAGAATATTGCAGAGTAATTACTAGGTGTGACAAAATATAAATTATAGTTGAAAGTAATAGGACAAAGAATAGAAAACAGCGGTATATTTTATACTTACGTTCTTGATCAGAACCATCTTCAGATTTGTCATCTTTACTTTTCATAAATGGGAATTTCCTACTAAACGAGAAGTTTTTCTTCTTCCTATCTAAGGTTGATTGCTGAAAAAGTATAGATTTCCATTAATACCAACTAATATCGATATGCAGGGTGTTTCATAATATATGAGAGCAAAAAATTTAATTTCAATGGCAGGAGAATTATAGTCCTCCACGCCGGCAATGAAAAATCAATTGGTGATAATGCATTGTTGTTGCCTGTCAGAAATATTAAGCAATCCTTTGCCGATTACCGCGAGGATATGGCGGCATTATTATTTGAGAAATGGACAAAGCAGCAGCTTTTACCTGATATCACAGCAAAGTCAGTTTTCGTTATAAATAATGCGTCATAATATTCACGTCAACAACAACAATGAAAATTACGGGCATTAGCACGAAAGAGGCTGATACAATTCAATTAATGGGTAAAAAAGACTGGAAATGTCTAAAAAAAAATTACTCGAAATAACTGTTCTACGTAAACTCCATATTACTGTTTATTAACCCAATGATAGTCTGGAATGCTATCAAAAGCAACGTACGGAAAAATTTCTCAGTTTTAAACACCATCAGGGCAGTAGTCAGTAATTCTACAACAAAAGAAGGTGTGAGTATGTAAGTGAGCACTTCTTTGAAATATCCTATGTTTTTTCGTTTTCTTTCATTGTAGAATTCATTGTAGAATTACCATTTTACATAATAACATAAAAGAATTATGATGAAACTATATAATTATATTCGAAATATGTCCTCTAATAATTAAATAATTGTGGAGATGAAAGTGAGTTATGAGGAAAAAACTATGTGTTTGGTTTAGTACTTATCAGGATCGAAATATTCTTATAGAATTTTTAATCTGTGGTAGAAGTCCATCGCATCTTAAAGTGGATTGGTTAGTTACCAAGGATCAAAACACAGTCTCCACAATTTTGATAGTGATCAAATTATTGAATCAGATCATCGTACATGTTTCAGCATATACAGGCTCATCGTCAGCGAAAAATTGTGGAAATTCTACATTATATAGTGTTAAAAAATATTCGACACATTGAAGTAGAGTAACTTACATCGAGAAGAAAAAGAAAAAATTGTACTTAATATACTAGACGATTTTGTTGAATAGAGTTCAACCGAGAGTTCAACTTTTCAACAAATTTGATATTGCAAAGGGGGTTCCTATTTCCCACAAGTTGGCGAAAATACACAAACATGCCCATGGAAATTCACGTGGCAATATGAAATTATGTATGGGTTAAATCCGTGAAGTTAAGAATTTACACCATGCCAGAATGACATGACATGAAAGCTGACACTATGAACATGACAACCGACACAATACAGATGGCATGGCAAGTTAAACTCAATTATGACATGACATAACATTTCGACATGTTGACGGACGGATCCTTCAGCATGCACCCACCTATGCTGGCATTGGTTCAGTCATGAAGGTAGCCGATTTCACGAGCAAAAGAGGTAAGCCTTCTAAACAATACCCCTCATACACTCTCTGGGTTGAAAACGATTTTCCCGAGATGCGCTTCCTGTATAGCTGCTACTGATCGGCACTCCGTGATGATGTGAGTAGCTGACTACTCATTCTCAAGGCACCATCAACAGTCAGCATCATCAGTGATGGCCATGTTGAGGTCTCGGTTGAGGTGCATGTTCAAATAGCAGTGCCCCGTGAGGAGCCCTACCACTAGTCTGATTTCTCTCACGCTCAATGTGAAGAAAGTTTTGGTTCTTCTGATAGATGGACTTTCGATTTGGAGTTTCGATTGTCTCATGCCAGGTGTCTCTTTCCATACATCCTGGAATTGTGCTTCCAGGATATTCATCATGGTTGAGACGCTCTAGGATCTAGAAACTTTCAAGATTGCTTCTGGTCCAATTGCCGAGCTACTTGCCCCTTGTCTAGCCAGGTAGTTCACCCATTCATTTCCGGGTAATCCGATATGACCGGAGACCTAAAGGAGTTTCACCTTGTTGGCTGTGGATAACCTTTGCAGCTCATCAATGCACTTTGGCACCAACAGCGAACTGATCCTGTTTGACGAGAGGGCTTTGATCGCCGCCTGGCTGTCGGAGCATATTGTGATTAACTGGCCGTGGTAGTCACTGTTGATATTTTCTCTAACACAGGCAACTGAATAGTTGAGGAAAATAGAAAATATTCATGTTTACCTCTGACCAACCTCTGGGTTTTCCTGCAATAACTTCTTGAAATATGATCTTTGCATATTGAAGCACTATAAATAATTATTCAATTCAACTCCCAGACTCTTTCAAATACCTGACACATAAAACTTACAGAATAATAAGGTGATTCGGGCAAAAGACAATTTAATTACAAGTGATGTATAATCTTTGTTCGCCAACCAGACGCCATCTTGCCAGCTAAATGTCACGTGGTTTGGATTGCCTAATGAACAAAATAGCAGTGTCAAGAACATTAGGGAACTCTACTTAGAAGTATTGAATATTTTTAACTTTATATAATGTTGTAGAATCTGCACACTTTTTCGCTGTATGAGCTCGAAACATGTATGATGATCTGAGATTTAATAATCTGATCCACTATCCTCGATACATTTTCTCATTGAGTGCGAAAAATCGAATCCATCTGTGGCGCCTTACCTTATCCAGCACGTTCGGCACGTGTCCCTGGAACTTCACCGATCTGTCGCGCGCCCTCTGCTTCCTCTCCCACCGTCGCTTCGATGGCACGATGCCCATGCCGTGCTCGTCGCCCGTGTCGAGCACCACCCTGCGCGCCTGCCACCACTCGTCGTCCCCCGCGTTGGTCACGTGCAAGATGTCGCCGTGGCGGAAGGCCAATCCGCGGCTCGGCAGCCCGTCGTCCTTCGTCGGGTCGTAGTCGAAGAGAGCCCTAAGGAAAGATTTCAAGGAATTCCAATGACTCCATAGACAGAACGTGGAATACAAAGTCGGTCGACAACAAAATCATGTTTGTGACTAGGTCTGGGAAAAAATATCGACACATATACCAATACAAGGTGTCCGTTTTTCGAGCTCGACCATGGAGATCTCAGTTATTATGAGAGATTCGAGGTCGGTCAAATTACATTTACATTTATCTGCAAGAAAATTTGATGTGTCATTTTTAGTTCTTGAATTATTGGAAGAAACCGTTTTTATTTTTTCAAGCGGAAACCAAAAGACCAAGATGTTTCTGACTTGGACATTCTTGAGGCACTTTTTTACAAGGAATCTGAATCTGTCATTGTATTTTCCATGACGTTCTTGGTGCCAAAGTTACAACACACAACTTTGTTTTTTCTTATGGGCGCCATATAGGAATTTTGCATTTTTGAACTCTTTTTTTTTTCTGATTACAATGATGTATCACATGATATGATCGAATCTTTCCTTTTGATCAAAATTAAAAAAAAAAAAACGTTTTTGCGAAGAGTGCTTTGGAAAGAACGCCAACAGTTATTTCGACAGTTTATTCGAATTTGGATCTGTAACGTTCACATTTTCGTCAAGCTTATCCACTTGAAAACTATGGTTTGGAATTAGGAACGACGTGATGAGCTAGAAGTTTATTCTTCGCAAAACAAAACAAAGTTATGAAAGATGCTCGAATACTCCACCTTCCACTTCTAAACACAATTCTACGCGTTTCCTCATATTCGGAATTGCTCGCGAGATGTCCGGCCTTCTTATCTCAGTCCTGAAAGTGGTGATTATGATTCTTCTCAGCTCATCCATGTCATGGGAAATACGATGACAGATTCAGATTCCTTGTGAAAAAGTGCCTCAAGAATGTCCGAGACAGAAACATCTAGGTGTTTTGGTTTTGGCTTGAAAAAATGAAAACGAAAATTACAATTTTCGTTTTCTACGAATAATTCAGAGACTGAAAATGACACATCAAATTTTCTTGCAGATAAATGTTCAGCATGAGAATGCGCTACTTTGCCCTGATTGAACCGACGTCGTATCTCTTATAATAACTGAGATCACCATGGTACAGCTCGAAAAACGGACACCCTGTATATCGATAATATGTCGATATATCGTCATTCAGTTGTTTTACATTTTAGACTTTTGACATTTGGATCGATGATATAGTTCCTTAAACCCAATTTTTTCATGGAAAGACAATTGGATAAGTATTACTTCCGGTTTTACCGAAAATTGACCTAGGTCGAGAATTTCAAAAGAAACCCTGTAGATATTTTTACATCATTTGAAAAGCGAAAAATCCCCTGTGATATGTCATTAAAATGGGATTTTTGTGCTTTTAAAATGGCTGCGCCAGAGATATTTTTCTAAAATGATTATGATGACATTGTGACGTCATCGATCGAAGTTGTCAAACAGCCTAGTAGCAAATAAACGGAGCACATTGATTAGTTTTTGATGAAACATGCAAACATTTATATTCATCGCCAATTAGGATTCCTTTTAGTGATCCATTCAAACCACACTATTAATCATTAAAAATTTCAATAGGGAATTGTACTCTTCTCGAATCAACATCAAAGTATCTATAAAAAAGTTGTTGACACACTACACCTCTTATTTTTGTTCCTAATTTTAAAAACAGATGACACAGTGTTTCAAGCATGTATATGTACAGTTTGAATCAAACTTCAATGTTAATTCGAAAAAGGTACCAGTTCCAGTTGGAAATTTTGAAAAATATTCAAGATAGATAATTTACTTTTGGATGTATGATAAATTTATATTCATCATACAGGACGTGGAAAGAAATTCTGAATTGAGAAAACCTCATCACGAATCGGCGATTTAAAAACTATATCCTCCATCCAAATGATTTGATAATGATTGTCATTTTCTTATTATTTTCAACATCACATAGAGAATGCGAATTCTCAATGTATTTCTTTATATATATATGAAAAAAAAAGTCCCACAGTCTTCCATCTCGTATGGTGTATAACGATATATGTAGTGATAATTGTGATGAAATAGTTAATATGTTCTCTGACTATTTCTCGACCGTTTACAACAATACAACAATTAATCAAATCCCTCACTATCACTTCAATAACACTGTTGACGTTTGTACTTATACTACTGATATCAAAGAAGTTATTGATTTGGTACTGTCATTACCTATGAAGTTGTCAACTGGCCCAGATGAGATCCCATTGTATTTGATAAGAAAATGTATTTATACTTTAGCAAAACCTATTCACTTGCTGTTCAATTCATCTCTTGAGAAGGGGGAGATACCTAACAACTGGAAACTCAGTTTCGTTAAACCTATCCACAAAAGTGATTCACGGGAAGATGTTATCAATTATAGAGGTATTTGTAATCAGTCAGAGTTACCAAAAATGTTGGATTGTTTGATCACTAGAAAACTATCATGGGATTTTAAAAATATTATATCTAACCAACAACATGGTTTCTGTCGGGGTCGATCAACATCAACAAACCTGTTGCTTTATCAAAACTATATCATCAATTCATTAGAGAATAAGCTGCAAGTAGACTCTATTTACACAGACTTCTCTAAGGCCTTTGATAGAGTTAACCATAGTCTGTTACTTGCAAAACTTGAAGCTTTGGGTATAGAGGCGAATATTCTGAGTTGGATCAGAAGCTATCTCACTAGTAGAGTCCAATATGTGAAATATGGGAGCTCAGTTTCACAACCAATCGAAGTACCATCAGGTGTACCACAGGGATCTCACATGGGACCTCTGTTATTTAATCTTTTTGTTAATGACCTCTCTGATGTCATCATCAACAGTTCCTTCTTGATGTTTGCCGATGACCTGAAGATGTTTAGAACGGTTCAATGCATTCCTGATACTGAGAGTTTGCAGCTCGATCTAAATAATTTTTCCAGATGGTGCCATATCAATTTATTGAAACTGAATTTGAATAAATGTCAAAAGATAACATTTTCACGAAGCCATGATGCTATTGATCATATTTACAGAGTTAATGATACTAATCTATCAGTAACTAAAACAATCAAAGACTTAGGAGTAATATTCGACTCGAAAATGACCTTCAAACATCACATAATAGAAACATCATCTCGTGCTCGTAAAATGCTAGGCTTCTCCCTCCGTTCTGCTAAAGAACTATCTGTCAATGCAGTTAAAATTATTTATTGTGCACAGGTGAGGTCTATTCTTGAATATAATTCTTTGATTTGGTCACCATTTTACAAAGTTGATTCTGATCTCCTAGAGGGTTGTCAAAATGAATTTTTAAGAAGTTGTGCATATCACATGGGATTCAATAGGGATGAATATACCTATCCACAAATATTAGATATTTTGAATATGAATACGTTGGTACATAGAAGAATGGAAATTGATCTATTATTCCTCCATAAAATTATCAATGGTTACATTGATACTCCTGAAATTGTTGCTCTGATTATGCTTTCCGCAAATACAAGAAGAAACAGAAATAGTGACATTTTCAAGATACCATTCTGTAGGACAAATTATGGCCAAAATGAATCAATGAATAGAATTATGAAAACAGCAAACACAAACAATCACCAAATTGAACTTTTCAATTCATCTTTATTGTCTCTCAGGAGAGCGATAAAAAACTGTTAATCACTTTTTTCATAATCTTCATCTTTTTATTCGTTTTAGCCTTCTACATTTTTTTTTGTGTTAGTCTTCTTCATAGATATGATAATGTGTACGTGCTCTGTATTTTTATACTTTCTTTTTGTAAATTGTATAATTGGCTTGTCCGTTAATAAATAAATAAAAAATAAAAATAAAAAAATATATATATCCCTTTTTTGTATGTTCATAATTATATCGGAGAATATTCCTTCCCAATAGATAATATAATTTCAAAGAATAAGTTCAAGGAATCCTGCTTGGCGATGAATGAAAATGTTCAAATATTTCATCAAAAATTAATTAAAGTCTATTAGCAATTTTTTTAGGTTGCTTGACGCCACAGTGTCGCCATATTGATTTTGGAAAAAATGTATCCTTACCGGTAAAACCATAAGTGATTTTCAATTGTTTTTTTATAGAAAATATGGATTTTAACAAACTATATCCTGGATCCGAATGATCTGATGATGATTGTCATTTTCTTATTATTTTTGCCATCAATATTACTTAACACGCTCCTCTATAAGAATATTGATTCAACTCACCTAACATATAGAGATCTCTTCTGTGATGTTCTCAGTAATGTACCTCCTGATACAGGATGTGACATTTGTTGCTTGAGGTCATGAATTTTTGCTTCGAATCGGTTGTACTCTTCTGGTCTATATTGGACTACAACGTTAACGGTCTGATTTGTACCCTGAAAATATATGAGGAAAAATTAACGAATGCAACAATAATTATAAGGTACTTTATTTTGAATAGTAATTTCAACATGAACACAATAACTATAAAAAATGTATCTGAATGAAGTGTAGCGAGAACTGGTGTTATGCTCTCTCTGTTATGAAGATATTTTTCTTAAAGGTTGCGATTGTTAAGATGGATTTATGCAGCATCATTCAACAATTATCAAGTAACATTTATCATTCAACAAGTAGCAATTAAAAGTTGAACTTCCTGTTTTCAATGAAGGTTTTTATGGAGACATTTAAAAACTATCAATTTACCAGTAACAAGTAAGGAGTTGGCCAACTTTCAACTTTCTTACTTGGATTGATTCAGGTTCTCTTCTAGTGTGCAACTAGTACGAAGATGATCGCGGATTGATTTCATCGACTGGTTGAGAAGGCATGGATTGGTCAGACCAATGTCAGACCTGATATCTGACAGATGATATAAAATTTGTTCTAACATAAAACAATTGCAATACAGAATAACTGTGAATAAAATAACCCAGTCTCTTGCAGAACAGAAAACATTATGAAATTCGAAATTTTAGCTCCTTATGTAGATTGTAAACAACGAAGTTGTAAGGTTATTGCTTTGATGGTCCAGATTTAGGGCATCTACTACAAATCTATCAAATGCATTTGTATAATTATTGCCAAAACATGGAACTGAATAATCCCCCTCCACAAATAATACAAACATATTTTAGACATGCACAATGTGCTCAAAAGATCTTGCCATTGTACAGAATGCTGATAGACAAACTTAGGTACATCCATACAAAAACCAACATTGATTCTCACTGAAATTCAATAAACGAGTATCGACCAAATTGAAGATTCATTCCAGTTTTCAACATATACATTGTTATACCAATTAATCAAAAGCAAAAAAAAACACTAGATCTCAATTCTTTCCAATAGCAGGATTAGTGGAATTCTTTAAAGTCAGACATGTAGTGATTTTTTTTTCTTCAATGATTTTATTTATGCCTCAATGCAGTTTTCTCAGATTGAAGATGTTGTCAAACTGATATTTTAGATCCAGGACAAAATAAAAAATTGACTTTATTTGAAGAAAAGTTGTTTCATTCTTTAATGTAATTTTGGACACACAAAAAGCTCTTTCAAAAGCAAATCCAGCAAACATCTTACCTCTTCGATAAATCCAAGGTCACTTGTTGGATCTACTTCATTTTCATCCTACAGAATTTGTATATATCTTTATAATTATTTTCAACAATTAAAAAATACATAAATACACCCAGTGATGTATATATGTTGAGTTGAAATTTATGAATTCTGTTTTGGCAAGATAAGAATGACAATGATAGATATTATTCATTTTAATTTTACACATAGATTTTACTTCTACAGGAAAAACGAATTTAAATACAATTAATTCAGATTATCTGTCACTGTCCAATTTTCCTGGAAAGTATAAAAAATTCAAGCTATAAGTATAGGAGTGTATAAGTTCTAAGTCGATCTAAGCCATTCTATGATTTCAGAAGGTCACGATTGATTCCTAATTTTAGAAGAACCATAAAAGATAATAGTATCTATTGAATTGTTTATAACATATTTAGAGTAGGTCAAATATTTCTGTCTGGAATTGTTAGAGATTCGAATTGACCGCCATAGCTAGAATCGTTCTGGTTGGTTTGAAAAATAGTCCACACCGATAGTAATGGTTGTTCGTGTAGCGTGTGTTGACACCAGGGTGTTGAAATCAGTGAGAGTTTGAGCTGACAGTACGTTTGCAAACAGATCTGGACAACTGCGCATAGCATGCATCCTGTCTCCATACAATAAGTTTCAAGAAAGCGAGTGGCACAGTGTGGACAATGTGTCCGAATGCCACGCTGGCGGCTCGGGTTCAATCCATGCGAGTATCGGCTTTTTTGAATTCGTTTTCTACCAGGTAAGTTTACATTGTTTATAAAAAGTAGACTCCTCCGATCGATAGATCGATATTGGAAAATTAACTTCATAGGAAGAAGGTTCATTTAGGCCGAGTGAGGTTAGATTATTCAGAAACAATAGTCTCCTTTCGAAAAGTATAATTTCTATGAAGAAGGTTCATTCAGGCTGAGTAAGGTTAGATTGCTCAGAAAACGTTTCCTTTCTATGTGCGAAATTCAACACCAGTATCAACATCAGTTAGCATCTGTAAATGTATACCTAATATAAACGCTCACTGGTTTCAACACTCTGATCGCCTCTGGAGTCTGAATCTGTTAGTCTGTGTTTGCATCAACACTCACTTTCTTTGATACCCTGATGTCAACACACAACAAGCGACTTATGAACTCTAACTGTATCCACTGAAATAACTATTATCTAGACCGCTGTGTCATATCCCAGCATCCCAAAAGTCTCATCCAACTGTCGTTCATGACATCAAGTCGTGTCTCTTAGGGCTGGTTGCTTAAACATCTCTTTTAACTCAACGTGAAATTAATTCTCCTATCAAATCAGCTAAGGCTTACGTTGCCATAGATTCAAACAAATTGAATATTTGCATTGAGATCCAATAGGAGCACTACTAAATTGGTGTCCGAATGTAGAAGTGCCTTGGAAAATATGGCAAAAACTGAGAATGTCCCAGGACACACAGGTATCCAAAGGAACGAGGATGCAGATAGACTAGCTAGGATCGGATCAGGAACGACACCCATTGGACCAGAACCGATACTTGGAATAACAAATAACATGGCTTTGTCCCCCATGAAGGAAATACAACAAGCAGTTCCTTCAAACATGGCTGGACACACCGGAAATGAGATGATCAAAGCTCCATATGAAGGAACCTTCAAGAAGGCTAACGGGAGAGGTCCTGTCACTTGACAGAAGACATATTAGGATGGCAGTTGAGCTCCTAACTGGACACAACCACCTCAACAGGCACTTGGAGCTCATGAGATCATCTCTGATCCCATCTGCAGATGGTGCTTGGAGGATGATGAAACATTATCGCACATACTTGCTGAATGCTCCGCGTTAGTGCATCAGAGGAAAGCAGCCTTTGGGAGCATTCTATTGCACTCAAAGGATGTGAAAGTGATTCAGCAGAGAAATGGGCCCGACTGAAAGACAGAGAAAGATATATGGATGTACTCTTCGCAGGACTTGTGGAGGAAGGAAGATGCGAGGATCCTCTATCTAAGCGAAAAACATATTCTTGTCCTTGTCTGGCAAAACTTATGATTTGCTTCAAAATCGTTCGTGGTTATGTTTGATTGACACTGCTTGTCTAGTGTCCGCACTCTAATATACAAAAATTGTCAAGACAGCAGTGTCAAGTACATTTAGGAACTCTACTTTACACTAAGTGCCTATCTATAACAACGTATGCCTTAGCTGATGAGTTGGGAGAGTTGATCCAGGTTAAGTTAACAGCAAGGTTTCTGTAACTGGCCCTTAGTGTTCGGAAAAATATTAACACCTTGAATGCCATTGTCCAGTATACTGGACATATGAGATCTTCACACGTATACTGCGTCCACTTAACTGGACGCGTTTAAACAGCGAGTATATGCATTATCTTTTGGTGTCAGACCACGAAGTTGGTTTTATATGTATAGTACGGGATATGCTTGAGGATTTTTTTGTTTGTTTTTGCAGTTGGGATAAAAATATTGGAATAAATGTGGCAACATGCATGGGGCGAATCACATGGTTTGCAATTTCTTCTTCGCGCATTTGGTCATGATAATTGGATGATTTCCGAGCTGATTTGAGTAGTAAATAATCGTATCATTACCCAAAGCAAATTTTGGTGTACGTTAAGGAGTTTTTTGTGAAAAAGTATAAAGTTTAGTAATTTTTCTAACATATCTACAAGTAATAATGATGCAAGCCCAAGGTAAGGCCTGTCTCATTTTGTTGAATTGACCGAATGAATTTCGAGGAGAGAGAGCGAATAATAATAAGAAAAAACGAATTCAATTTTTTGAATGCAAATCAATCAACAGAAGAAATATGCGAAATAAAAAGATATTGCCAATTCACGAAGATGAAAGAAAAATAGTAATTCTTGCCCTGTTCGTCCGAAAAAACCTGGTTTATGTGTCAATCCTTGCTTCAAATATTGGAAAGCATCGACCATTTAGGTTTCTCATATGCAAATTTGAATCTCATTCTTACTTTTTTGTATTCAATAAAGAAAGTAATACACTTAGTTCAGTTTTTTTTTATGAGATGTGTATGTCCAGTTTACTGAACAGCAGCCTATACATGCCAAAACCCCGAATATAGCCCGCTGTGCAGTAAACTGGACAGCTGCTGGTGACCTTGAAAACGTCAGCAAACCATATATCCTCAAATTACGCTTGAAAAAATAATAATTTACTCAAACCTAGTCTTGGTTTCTTAGAGCCTCCTACTCCAGCCATATGTGGCATTCAACGTGTTAAGAAAGGGTAGGAGTAAGATATGACAGGTCCTGAATTCGATCGATTTGATTTCATGGCAACAGCGGTCTAGTTAGCGATTCATGTCGGTGGCCGGGTGGCCGTACCTTTAGCGCCAGGGCGGCCTCCTCGTGCGTCGCCGTCCTCAGATTGACGCCGTTGACGCTCAGAATCTGATCGCCGCGCCGCAGCTCGCCGCACAGATCAGCCGGCCCGCCCGCCAATATAAACGACACGAAGATGCCCTCGCCATCCTCGCCGCCCACTATGTTGAAGCCGAGGCCGGAGGGACCCTTTTGCAGCACCACCGTGCGCACGTCTCTGGAAAAAATAAGAAGAAAAGAGAGGTAAGAACTTGTGTGATGTTGGGAATCTATGTGGAGAATCGTTTTTCGAGTGTCAGCGATCAAAGTGTGAAGATTCATCGAAGCTTAGAGGGAGATTTCGTGAGAAACCTCGACCGGCTAAGATTCTCCCGCTTTTGGGTCATCATGCAAATGAAAAACATTATTTTGTGGAAGCTTCGTCATTATGACGGTAAAATATTGTCCAGTCTATGAAAAACACAAAAACTGTCCTGTGGAAAGGTTGGAAACCAGATGGGACATGGTCAGCGATCAAAGTGTGGGGATTCATCGAAGCTCAACCGGCTAAGATTCTTCCGGTTTTTGTTCATCATACAAATGGAAAACGTTATTTTTTGTAAACGTTGCCGTTCTAAACCTGTAAAAAAATGCAAAAACCGCCCTTACGGACGATATTATTAGTAAGCCAGTGACCCTCGCAGTGACCTATTTCGAAGTTACTCATTTGTTATGACTAACTCCAAGAAATTTTCAAATTTGTTGTCAAACTATATTGAAGCCGAGGCCGGAGGGACCCTTTTGCAGCACCACCGTGCGCACGTCTCTGGAAAAAAGAAGAAGAAAAGAGAGGTTAGAACTTGCGTGATCTTGGGATTCTATGTGGAGAACCGTTTTTCAAGTTTCAGCGATCAAAGTGTGAAGATTCATCGAAGCTTAGCAGGAGATTTCGTGAGAAACCTCGTCCGGCTAAGATTCTCCCGCTTTTAGGTCATCATGCAAATGAAAAACATTATTTTGTGGACGCTTTGTCATTATGACGGTATAATATTGTCTATTCAATAAAAAAAACTGCCCTCACGGACAATATTGTGAGTTACTCATTCGTTATGACTAACTCTTAAGAAATTTTCAAATTCCTGTAAAGATTAACATTTTTATCAAACTATATTGAAGCCGAGGCCGGGGGGCCCTTTTGCAGCACCACCGTGCGCACGTCTCTGGAAAAAAGAAGAAGAAAAGAGAGGTTAGAACTTGTGTGATGTTGGGATTCTATGTGGAGAACCGTTTTTCGAGTGTCAGCGATCAAAGTGTGAAGATTCATCGAAGCTTAGAAGGAGATTTCGTGAGAAACCTCGACCGGCTAAGATTCTCCCGCTTTTGGGTCATCATGCAAATGAAAAACATTATTTTGTGGAAGCTTCGTCATTATGACGGTGAAATATTGTCCAGTGTATGAAAAACACAAAAACTGTCCTCAGCGACTATATTTTGTGTGCGCTAGTGACCAATTTCGAACTAAGTTATTCATTCCTAGCTCAAGAAATTTTTTCAATTTCTGTCAAGATTAACTTTTTTGTTATTGTTATTCTTCGGAAGCGTTGACGTTATAGAGTTTGTGGAAAGGTTGGAAACCAGGTGGGACATGGTCAGCGATCAAAGTGTGGGGATTCATCGAAGCTCAACCGGCTAAGATTCTCCCGGTTTTTGGTTATCATGCAAATGGAGAACGTTACTTTTTGTAAGCGTTGTCGTTCTAAACCTGTAAAAAAATGCAGAAACCGCCTTACGGACGATATTATTAGTAAGCCAGTGACCCTCGCAGTGACCTATTTCGAAGTTACTCATTTGTTATGACTAACTCTGAGAAATTTTCAAATTTGTTGTCAAACTATATTGAAGCCGAGGCCGGAGGGACCCTTTTGCAGCACCACCATGCGCACGTCTCTGGAAAAAAGAAGAAGAAAAGAGAGGTTAGAACTTGTGTGATGTTGGAAATCTATGTGGAGAACCGTTTTTCGAGTGTCAGCGATCAAAGTGTGAAGATTCATCGAAGCTTAGAGGGAGATTTCGTTAGAAACCTCGACCGGCTAAGATTCTCCCGCTTTTGGGTCATCATGCAAATGAAAAACATTATTTTGTGGAAGCTTCGTCATTATGATGGTAAAATATTGTCCAGTCTATGAAAAACACAAAAACTGTCCTGTGGAAAGGTTGGAAACCAGGTGGGACATGGTCAGCGATCAAAGTGTGGGGATTCATCGAAGCTCAACCGGCTAAGATTCTCCCGGTTTTTGTTCATCATACAAATGGAAAACGTTATTTTTTGTAAACGTTGCCGTTCTAAACCTGTAAAAAAATGCAAAAACCGCCCTTACGGACGATATTATTAGTAAGCCAGTGACCCTCGCAGTGACCTATTTCGAAGTTACTCATTTGTTATGACTAACTCCAAGAAATTTTCAAATTTGTTGTCAAACTATATTGAAGCCGAGGCCGGAGGGACCCTTTTGCAGCACCACCGTGCGCACGTCTCTGGAAAAAAGAAGAAGAAAAGAGAGGTTAGAACTTGTGTGATGTTGGAAATCTATGTGGAGAACCGTTTTTCGAGTGTCAGCGATCAAAGTGTGAAGATTCATCGAAGCTTAGAGGGAGATTTCGTTAGAAACCTCGACCGGCTAAGATTCTCCCGCTTTTGGGTCATCATGCAAATGAAAAACATTATTTTGTGGAAGCTTCGTCATTATGATGGTAAAATATTGTCCAGTCTATGAAAAACACAAAAACTGTCCTGTGGAAAGGTTGGAAACCAGGTGGGACATGGTCAGCGATCAAAGTGTGGGGATTCATCGAAGCTCAACCGGCTAAGATTCTCCCGGTTTTTGTTCATCATACAAATGGAAAACGTTATTTTTTGTAAACGTTGCCGTTCTAAACCTGTAAAAAAATGCAAAAACCGCCCTTACGGACGATATTATTAGTAAGCCAGTGACCCTCGCAGTGACCTATTTCGAAGTTACTCATTTGTTATGACTAACTCCAAGAAATTTTCAAATTTGTTGTCAAACTATATTGAAGCCGAGGCCGGAGGGACCCTTTTGCAGCACCACCGTGCGCACGTCTCTGGAAAAAAGAAGAAGAAAAGAGAGGTAAGAACTTGTGTGATGTTGGGAATCTATGTGGAGAATCGTTTTTCGAGTGTCAGCGATCAAAGTGTGAAGATTCATCGAAGCTTAGAGGGAGATTTCGTGAGAAACCTCGACCGGCTAGGGTTCTCCCGCTTTTGGGTCATTATGCAAATGAAAAACATTATTCTGTGGAAGCTTCGTCATTATGACGGTAAAATATTGTCCAGTCTATGAAAAACACAAGAACTGTCCTCAGCGACTATATTTTGTGTGCGCCAGTGACCTATTTCGAACTAAGTAATTCATTCCTAGCCAAGAAAATGTTCTAATTCATGTCAAGATTAACTTCCTTGTTAATGTTATTTCTTGGAAGCGTTGACGTTCTAGAGTTTGTGCAAAGGTTGGAATCCAGGGACATGGTCAGCGATCAAAGTGTGAAGAGTCATCGAAGCTCAACTGGCTAAGATTCTCCCGGTTTCTGGTCATCATGCAAATAGAAAACGTTATTTTTTGTATGCGTTGTCGTTCTAAACCTGTCAAAAAATGCAAAAACCGCCCTCACGGACGATATTATTAGTAAGCCAGTGACCCTCGCAGTGACCTATTTCGAAGTTACTCATTTGTTATGACTAACATTTTCAAATTCCTGTCAAGGTTAACATTTTTGTCGAACCGCCGCAGGGGTCCTTCTGCAGGACCACCGTTTGCACGTCTCTGGAAGCGAGAAAAAGAGGTTAGAATTCGAGCGGAGGTTGGGAATTCAGGTCGGGAATGCTTTTTTGAGTCTCGACCGGCTAAGATAATCCCGCTTTTTCGTCATCATGCAAATCAGAAACATAATTTTGTGGAAGCATTGTCGCTCTAAATAAAAACCTAAAAGGAGACGTATAATATTGTCTTTTATCGACGATATTTCCAGTAAGCAAGTGACCTCTATTTCCAACTTTCCAACATTCGATCATTCCTTATTCTTACCGCAGAAATTTTTTATTTTACTGTAGACTAATTTTTTTGTAAAGTTTCTGAGCCAATCATGTTGAAGCCGAGACCGGAAGGGCTTTATTGCAAGACCACCGGTCACCCCCAGAAATTTTTCGTTTCCTGTCTAGATTAACTTTTCTGTCAAGTTTTTAAGCCAATCATGTTGAAGCCGACACCAGAAGGTCCTAATTGCAGGACCACCGTTCGCACGTCTCTGGAAGAAAAAGTGAGGTTAGCGTTAGCATTTGTGAGAGTTTGAGGATTCGGATGGGAAACGGTTTTTTGAGTGTCAGCGATCAATGTGTGGAGATTCATCGAATCCTAGTGGGTGTTTTCGTGGGAAACATCGACCAGCTAAGATTCTCCCGCTATTTGGTCATGGTCGAAATAGTTATTTCATACAAGGAAACAAATATTTCAGCTCGATGTTGTGATCACTAACAATAACTTAGACGAACATTCCAATAAATTTTAAATCTTTCGACTGGTCTCTTGCGAATATGACATACTAAGTACCGACACATTTTCAAATTTTTGAAAATTGTTTGATGAAAAATGGAACGATAACAATTTACTCTATCGCACTACCTCAACACCACACTTCTGGGATTAGAAACATTGTTACGGAGGAACCAAATACCAATTACGGCACTACATATCGTAAAACTGAAGTGATCGAGCATGGACACACTTTTATCCCACCCCATATATATATCCACGTCTCAACAAGTTACTAGTTGTTAATATTGAAAAAGAGCTCAAGCTCCAACACTGTAGAATTATCATAAACCAGTAAAATACCAACGAAAACTACAAGAACTCATAATGATACCTACTATTCAAAGTGCGCCCAAACATTGTCCTGTCCCTTCGACCCAGTAACAACACACATTATCAGGAACGAACAACATCAAACGACCAAAATACTTACTCTACCGACGAATTCGCGCCGTCCATGACCGACAAAAAGAATCAACGAAACTCCATCACACCCTCGCTTGCCCTCGCGAACCAAAACGTACCCCGAATCGTTCCTATTTCAATCAACAGGCCCTTCCACATACTAGGCTAGTCGCGACAGAACCGAACAGAATTCAACCGACCCTGACCTGCGGCAGAGACAGACGTAGTGAGCACACCGAACGCGCCCTTTTGTACTTTGTAGTCCCTTGCATCGGGATGCGAGTCAAAGAGGGATGAAAATGGAAATGCGCGCTGGCATATAGGAACAGGCGTCGGGTATCGGGACAAAAGGGGGTGTACGCCACCCAGTGGCGTAAGGAGAGTTGTCGGGGCCCCGATGCAACGAAATCAATTGCTAAAAGTGCATCCTGAAAACTTGGTTTTCTGTTTCGGGCCATGAGCTATCTCACTTCCAGTCAGCTGCTGATGATCTATAAGGCACAGATCCGACCTGTCCTGGAATACTGTTCCCATATTTGGAGTGCAGCACCCAAACATACCTTGAAACTGTTGGATTCTGTCCATAAAAGGGCAATTCGTCTCGTGGATGATGCCTCGCTCACAAACTCACTCACTTCTCTGGAACACCGTTGAAAAGTTGGCGATTTGGCTCTATTTTATAGATATTTTCATGGACGATGCTCTTCTGGAATATCAACAATTTTTCCTCCCTTGGCAGTCCCCGCGATATTAACCCGTTGAGTTGAGGCTTCGCACCCCTTCGTGGTCACTTTGGAGACCTGCAGAACATCTCTTTCCAAAGACTCGTTCATCCAACGAATAGCAAGAGAGGTGTTCCCCGAGGCATATAACCTCCAGAAATTTAAGAAGAACACCAATTTCTACCTTATTTTCCTTGGTTCTCACGATGTTCTCTGAACATTCCAGGATATCCCTTTTCGTGGCAACCAGAAAATAAAAAAACCTTAGAAATCTTCTAGCACCTACCATTTCTCCCTATCCTCCCTAGGTACGCACGATGTTCGGCGAACATCATAGGAATATCCTTCCCTGCGCTCCCAGGGATTGAAAAAAAAACGATAACGTCAATGTACGTATATACTTTTTTAATAGAGAGTTGAAGTGCTGCCATGAACGTTACCGTAAATGTAGAAATTGACAGCTACGCATGCGCATTTTCCAATTCTTCACGTTTACGTTGATAGTGGGCTTACTGGTGTACGTTATCTCACGTAGGTACTTTCACGTATACCTTGAATATCAACGTACGTTAACCAAACTATACTCGATACATGCCGTATCAGCCGAGTCAAAATTATCGAATTCGGGGTCCCCAAGGAGTTCTGCACCAAGAAGTCGTCTTATTTTAACACGAATGAATATTCAGATCTAAACAAACAACAAAAAATGACCAATACCCAAGACAATACATATAAACGTTTTTTTCCATACGTTAACGTCTAGGTACTGTGATTACTGCAACTGTCTTAAATCAATACCCTTTCATTACTGTGAGTACTTCAACTCTCTAATATCAATACCCTTTTATTAGCTTCACCTGTATCCTGTATGTATGTATGTTTGTATGCTTACTTGTATGTAACAGACTTCTTTGGATATTGACCCACTTTAAACGGGATTGATTTGAAATTTGGCAGGTGTACATAATTCTGGTAGCAATTTATCATGAAATTTGTTAGACAAAAAATCAAAATGGCGGTTCCAAAATGGCGGACGAATTTTGTAATTATGATCCGATTCTATTAAAAATTTATATACGGAGATTTTCGGAAATGGAGATTATGATTCCTTCGCCAAAATTTAAAAATTTAAAATGGCGTGTGCAATATGACCGAAGAGTTTTGTAATTATGATCCGATTATATTAAAATTTGGTATCTGGGTGTTTTCGAGGTCGGAGATTATGATTCTTTCGTCAGAATTGGTGTATTCGATATGACGGATCCAATATAGCGGACGAGTCTTGTAATTAAAATCCAAATATATCTCTAAATATATTCAAAATCTGAATCTGGGTGTTTTTGGGATCGGATTTTATGATTATTTTGTAAAAATTTGAAAATACGAGATGGCGGACGAGTTTTGTAATTATAATCCGATTCTTCTCAAAATGTGTATCTGGGGGTTTTCTGAAATTGAAAAATTCAAGACTAATATGGTGGACGGGTTTTGTAATTATATGATCCAATTCTATTCAAAATTGGTATCTGGAGGTTTCCGGGGTCTGAGATTAATAATTTTTGGATGTATGAGAAATTGATATTCATCATACAAGTTTTAAAACCTTGATTGAGTGGGAGTATTGAACAGAAATATTCTCAGATAAATTATGAACATGAAAAAATGCATATATTTAATAGGATTCGTTTGTTCTTTCAAAGAACGAATCAACGTGCCGGCACTGGCCCTTGCAAGATATTCCCAGCGAAGACACGTATAATGTCTCTTCGCTGATATTCCCAATCACCAACAATAAATCGATATCAGAAATATTTTCCTACTCTCTGCAAAGTGTAATACAGGGTGGCCATAAAAACGGGGGGCCACCACTAAAACTGAAGTCGAAAGATGAAACTGAAATTTCGTTCACTCATCAACTATCAGCTAGCTCCTGTAGCTGTATGTTTTTGACGGTATCTGAATATTCAACAAAATATTTGAAATCTTGGGTTTTCTGCTCGGTTTTCTGTGCCTGTTTCTTTTCATTGCATAATAAGGTAGCATGTGAGCAGTATAATCTCTGATGTGAGGAAGCGTGTAATTATTAGTATTGTTGTCATTTTAGCACTGATAACCAGGAAAAAATCCTTTTTACTGTTTTTAGCTCTGTTTCATGTAATGTAATGTTATGCATGGGCTGTATGAAGGGAATTTTTAGCCGAATTCAATGGCATTAAAAACAAATAATGCGCCAACAAGAAGAACAGAAGTTACATGGTCAATATCTGAAAATAACGAATATCTGCCAATGCCAACTTCTTTGTCATGATTGATTACCTAAATACTGTCTGTAGGTTGAACGAGGATAATGGAAAAAATGAAAATATGAGTATTATTTCAATATACAGGATCGCTGATACGTATGGAAACAGGTGAATACCTCGGTAACCTCCATTGTCGATCAAAAACGCTCCAATGTTCCTATCTTCACTTTTGATTAACTATCTACTGACATTTAATTGGAACAGATACAGAGGGTGTTCAGAATTCTGAATCTTGAACCACCCTGTATTTGTTTCAATTAAATGTCAGTAGATAGTAAATTGAAAGTTGAGATTGGAACATTGGAGCGGTTTTGATCGATAATGAATAGTTTTGACCGAGGTTTCGTCACAAAAAAATCCTAAAGTTGAAAAATCTAGATTTTAAACACCGTATGTATGTATGTGTGTATGTATGTAATCATTCCCGCTAGACCCCAAGAGTGATAGATCGATGGAATCAACTCTTCAAGGAGAATCTGAAAATCCAATAAAGTACAGGGTGTTCCTTTCAAAATGAGGAGGTAAATAAATAATCCGGAATAACTGAGAAAGTGTCAACATTGGCTATAACATTTTCAAATCCGCCACGTTTTGAAATCACACAGTAGATAAATTCCAAAAAATCCAACAGCAGGTTACCGAGATATTCACCTTTTTCCATACATATCAGCGACCCTGTATAGTAGGACAATTCAGATGATTTGCCCCAAAATGTCACCGAGTTAAATAATGTTTCTATCAGAGAGCCCGAAGAGAGCCTAAAAGAAAAATCCAATCGTTTGTCAGTGACCATTTGTTTTGAAAAATGTTTGAAGAGAGGAAATATAGATAGATAGATTGAAAAAATATCGAATTTTTTCTTCTTTGGACGTTTCGGTTCTGAACTACAGATTGTAAACCGAGTTTGAAACACTATAGTATAAGGGTGATTCACCATAAATGATCTAAAATGATTTTTCAGAATTTTTTTTCCCGTTGCATCAGAAAATACAGGGTGCTCGGAACAAATGATCTACAGAGTACTACTTGATTTTTTCAAATGGAACACCCTGTATTTCATTGTATTTTTAGATTCTTCCTGAAGAGCTGATTTCATCAATATATCACACTTGGGGTCTAGCGGGAATGATTACAGAGATATAGGGTGTTCAAAATCGAGATTTTTCAAGTTTAGGATTTTTTTTATCGAAACTATTCATTATTGGTCGAAACGGCTTTTATGTTTCTATCTTAACTTTTGATTTACTGTCTACTGACATTGAATTGGAACATTTACAGGGTGGTTGAAGATTCAGAATTCTGATCACCCTGTATCTGTTCCAATTATTAAATGTCAGTAGATAGTGAATCAAAAGTTGAGATATGGACATGAAAGCCGTTTTGACCGATGATGAATAGTTTCGTCTCAAAAAAATCGTAAAGTTGAACAATCTCGATTTTGAACACCCTATAACTCTATGTAATCATTCCCACTAGACCCCAAGTGTGATACATCGATCAAATCAGCTCTTCAGGGAGAATCTAAAAATACAATGAAAAATAGGGTGTTCCATATAAAAAAATCAAATTGTACCCTGTAGACCGTTTGTTCCGAGCAACCTGTATTTTCTGATGTACCTAGCGGAAAAAAACTTTACCGAAAATCATTCAAGATGATATTTCAAATGTTGAAATCGGTTTAAAAATAACCGAGCTAGAGGAGGGGGGGACATTTATGGTGAATCACCCTGTACTACAGATAGCAAACACCAAAATATTAAGATTCAGCCTGGTAATAAGTCTTATGAAAATGTTGCTAGTTTTGGAGATACTGGGTGTTCAAGGGGAAGATTTTATTTAGAATTCTTCAATAACTTTGATTTTTAACAGCATGAACATGAAGTTTTGTAGTTTCAGGTTTTCCAACACGAGAAATACGAATTTGTTACTAATTTTGTGAATGCTCATAGAGGGCGCCAGTGGCACTCTGTTATTTCAGTAAATTGCATTATATCCTTCTTTGTCTCCATTGAATAATGGTTGAAATAAG